GAGAATCAGTGTTTGCAGCAGTGACTCTAGAATCTTGGTGGAGGCCTCAGACTTACCTGGAGGGCTTATTTAACACAGATTCCTGGGGCTCACCTCCACAGTTTCTGATTTAGCAGGTCTGGGGTCTGAAAAGGTCCATTTCTAATAAGTTCCTTGGCAATGCTGCTGGTCTGGAGACTACATTTTGAGAGCAACTAGTTTGGAACAATTAAAACAATTTAGTTTCATGTCAGTCAGGTGTAACCTACTTCCTGTCCTGGGGAAGCCCTCTGCATTAGGGTGTTAGAGGTAGTGGCGGTGCTGGGCTTGTTATCTGTCTGTCTATGAGGTGGATGCCTGGGGAAGTTGTTGGGGCTCAGAAAACAATACCCAAAAATGAAGGCCTCAGAAGCAGACTCAGAAGCAAAAGATCTTCTCTGACCTTCTCCTGCCATCCTGTCTCCCAGTCACATTCTCTCTCAAGGCTAGCCATAGAAACTATAATGGTAGAAACCAAATTACTTTTGCATGAACCTAATAGAATCCCTTTTCCCCAAGGCTGGTCACAGAAACCAGAACCGTCTTTTTCCAAAGCCAGCTGTAACATCTAAATATATGACTCTAATGTTCCCTCTGCTCTAGCTGTATAAAAACTGACCATAAAGAACTGTTCTCATTCACCTTGTTTGACTATAGGCCATAAGGCCCCCATTCCAGAGAGGGTCCTGCCCACACTCAGAAGGAAGGAATGCTGGCTCCGAGAGAACAAGGAGAATCCAGACAGAGAGGCCTTGCTGGGTTTCCCCACTCTATCTATTAGCATTAGAGCCTAACCTTTATCCAATCACATTTCTATTGGCTGTCCCTACTTTGTTGAACCTCAGCATAAAAATGGGCAGTTTCCCCTATATCTTTGGATCTTCATTCTGAAGTCTCCCAGAAATGCATGGGAAATTAATTTGTATGCCTTTTCTCCTATCAATCCATCTGCCTCATGTCACTGACATTTCAGTGAACCTTAAGTGGGTCGAGGGCCTTGGCTCCCACACAGTGCAGGGTCACCCAGCAGCCCCTAGGAGCCAGGCCGGTCTGTGCAGGGCTCTGAGGGAGCAAACTAACGTGTCTCTGTCAGATGGCTAGGCTCTGTTGGCTGGCGCTTCAGACTCTTAGGAGCTCAGTTAGTTTAAGGACTGGCGAAATCTAGAGCTTCTAAAAGTTCCCAGAACTAAACTGGAGTAACTAGAAGTAGAAAGGAAGGCACGGTTGGCTGGGTATGGTGACTCACACCTGTAATCCCAGAATTTTGGGAGGCTGAGGTGGGCAGATGGCTTGAGCCCAGGACTTCGAGACCAGACTGGGAAACACAGTAAAACCCTGTCTCTACTATTAAATTTAAAAATAAAAAAAATTAGCTAGATGTGGTAGCACATTCCTGTAGTCCCAGCTACTTGGGTGGGAGGCTGAGGTAGGAGGATAGCTTGAATCCAGAGGTGAAGGTTGCAGTAAGTGCCACTGCACTCCGGCCCCTAACAATCTGGCAATATGGATGACAGTGAGATCTTGTCTAAAAAAAGAAAAAAGGCAGAGTTCTCATCATCACCATAGCTAACCGGGAAGCCAGCTTGGCATGTTCACATGCTGACATGCCACCAGGCCTCCAGGCTGATATTTTAGGGTCTCAGGCCATAGATGTGCCCCTTCTCAGGAATTATTTCAGGCTGAGGCTTGCACAGACAGTGGAGTGCTTTGCTGTGGCTCAGGGGCAGCCCACAGGACTCCTTCCCTCCTCCCCTTCCCTTCTCCTTCTCTTCCTCTCCCTCCTTCTCTTTCCTCAGACACATGCAGTTTCCAATTTGGTCACTAGAGGTCTCAGCAGGACAACGATTATCCTAGGAAAGGGCAAAGAAAGACCTGGAAGAAGCCTGAAACCCACCCCAACTCCAAGCTGGCTGACTGTTGTTTGGAGGCTCTCCAGCAAAGGGACAACTAAGGCAAGGAGCCCGTGACCCCTGCCTGCCTGCCCAGCATCCTCAGCAGGAAGACCAACTAGTCTTGAGTGGCTGCCCAAGGATGCCATTTTCCTCTTCAAACAGTGCTACGGTTGTCACAGGAGAAGGAGTGGTAACACCAGGGCAGTGACAGTTGCCAAGGAGGGCCTGTAGTCCCCTTCCACTATCTCCATTATTTGAGCTGCTTCCCTCAAATGACATGGTGGACTGGCATCTTTCAATCTTACGTGAACTGCTGTGCAGAGGTGGCATCAAGGGTCCCCTTGCACAACCCTTCCAGCCAGATGTGCTGCCTCTCAGTCCCTTCTGCCAAAATTCTGGAGCTGAAATTTTATCCTGGTAATACTTTCTGAGGCCATAGCTTTTTGTGGTGCTATTTTCCCAGCAGCATTAGAACCTTAGATGTACACAAGAAATGACCCACCTTTGTGATCTTCCCTATTCTACCATAAGCTGTCCTGCTCCTTCCACCAGATTTCGAACCAGTGTCACATTCAGGGAAGGCTGATGCAGACTAGATGTGTGATTTTGAAAAAGTTGTGTTTTCGGACAAACTTGATATATGAAAACCCAAATGGACCAAAATGTTAAATCCAGTGATGATTTTTTTGTTCTCCAAAAAAGATTCATCATAGCTGGGCACAGTGGCTCACTCCTGTAATCCCAGCACTTTGGGAGGTCAAGGCAGGTGGGTTACTTGAGGTCAGAAATTTGAGAGCAGCCTGGCCAACATGGCAAAACCTTGTTTCTATTAAAAAATACAAAATATTAGCTAGGCGTGGTGACTCATGCCTGTAGTCCCAGCTACTTGGGAGGCTGAGGTAGGAGCATCACTCAAACCCAGGAGTCAGAGGTTGCAGTGAGGTGAGATCACACCACTTCACTCCAGACTGGGGAAAAGAGCAAGACTCCCTCTCCAAGAAGAAAAAAATCATCTTAAAAATGCCATTTACTTACCATGGAAAGAGAAAGCTCTGTTAAAAAAATGACATTGCATATTTGGTTAATATCTGTAATTCCATAATTTTATGTAAATGAAGGGTGCATCTCAAAACTCTGCTGAAAGCTGGCATGTGTGGATTTCTGTTTTTGCTTTATTGGCTTTCAAATTATTCTTGGACTACCTCAGAGACTTCCCTGGCCTTGTTAACTTGGTTAGCACTAGACTGAAAAGGAGAGAATGTAACCTTGTACACCTGCTGGGTCTGCTCAAGGTCCAGAGCTCTGATCATTGGTATCTCAGGAAGGAGAGAAGTATACACTGGCTGGATAACCCCAAACTACTGAAACTGGAAGATTTGAGATGACCACACCGGATCTTGCCACATCTACCGGAGTTTGACAGGTCCATGTAAAGGGGACAGGCTGCGTGCTCATCTGCACCTTCTCCTTCCTGCCCTTCTTTGTCTTTAGTTAGTAACAGAAACCCAAAAAGCCCTTGCTCCTAGAGGCTGTCCCCATTTGCAAAGCCTGACTATAACTATTTTCAAAATCCTACAGTGGAAAATGAATGTTGCCGGGAAGAAACTGCATGAAAAACAGCCTGAGGTTACTCAGCAAACTCAGCATCATTCACTTTTGAAATCACCTGATTTCAAACTCATTTGACAGATGAGGAGCCCAAGGTCCATAGAGGCATAGCGACATTCTCAAGTTCACCCAGATATTTCATGGCAGAGCCAGGACAGGGACCTGGGGTCCTTTCTTGGGATGTAGGCGCCTTCACTTTAAAAAAACTCTCTTGGTAGTGTCTAAGAGATTCTCTTCCAGAGAGAAATGAGCTGGGGCATCACACCAGAAAAGATGCCTTGATGGGAAGAGGAGGATTAAGTTTTAATCCAGGCTCTGCCCCCATCTTGGGCAAGTTACTTTCTCTCTTGAAACTTTGGCCATTTTCTATGAATTAAGGGATTTGGAGTAAAGGCTCCATTTCTAAAGACTCATCAGCTCTAGAATTCTGTTTCTAAATGACAGGTTCGGGGTCTTAGCACTGCAGGGGCTTGGGCAGTGCTCAGTTACATTTCAGGAGAGCCCCTCTAATTTTATGTTCTTATCATCTCTGGCAATTAACTTGGAAAGTTTCCTCCAAATTCCCATTCAACACACACTAGAAACTTCAGTGAAATTGAGCACAAGAGGCAGTTCCAACCCCACATTCACAGTCAGGATCATATTTTAAATGTTCCAGGTATGCTCTTAGGCACAAATAACTCCTTTCCAATTTATTCTGTAAGTCGAACTTATCACATAGTGAAATCACTCAGTTTGGAGATACAGTTAATGGAAAATCAAGGAACACTGTAAGGAATTGTGTGTGCACACACGTGTGTGTACATGTGAACAATATAATTAAAGGCCACTAGAGTCCCTATCTGGTTTGAAACACCATTATTCTTTTTCCTTCGTAGTCACAGTTTTGTTCCGCATATATATGTGTTTCTATCACATACCTATGTGTACACAGGAAACATAATAGATGAGAAGACGACCTTTTCTCTCCATGGCTCATTTTAGCTGTTACTTGGCACAATGGTGTTTACTTTCACTTAGCATTCACTCTACAGCAGTAATCCCCCTAAGGGTGGTGGTCCTAGAGCACATTGCATAGCAAAGGCAAGGTTTGTACAGAGATGCCCACATACGTGGGTACACACTGTGTAGTGGTATGTTGCAGTGAGAGCGTGGACGCATGCCTAGAATCCTGAAAGCTGATCATCCAAGTGCTCATTGTCAGAGAACAAGAGGCAAAAGCATCCCCCAGGTCTCCCCAGCTCCTTCCCGGGGAGGTGCCAGGCTGACAGCTGCAAGTGCCGGGGATTGTGGGAGAGAGAAGCACAAAAATAAAATCAGGAACAAAGACAGAAGATCTGTGGCTTAAAAGCGGCAGTCTCATGCGGCCCAAGGGCTAAGCGCTGAAAGCGGGAATCAGAGAACAGCAGAGAAAACATGCGGGAACGGAAGGCGGAAGCGCACACAACACAGCTGAACCCAGGAAGCCATGCTCACACTTACATGGTGTGGTCTCACACTACCTTAGTTTGCCTTAAGCATTTCCATCATCTGAGAGTGTAGGAGGAAAAAACAGAACGGTTAAAGGTAAAATAAGTTAAGAGCTCACGCTTTGTTTTTTAAAGATTAAAACTAACAATGTCATTCCTGGTCATTCCTTGGGTGATTCACAGTGAGGAAAATCACAGTTCTGAGAACCAGACTGCCTGGTTCATACTTCAGTCCTGCTACTTGCCAGCTGTGGGACTGGGCAAGTGTCTTATCTTTCCCTTCTTGTTTCCTAATCGTAAAATGGGCTAATAGCAGCACTTACCTTATAACGTTGTGGTGAGGTTGGAGTGAATTACAGCATGGGAATACTTAAAGGCTGGGCACAGTGGTTCAAGCCTGTAATCCCAGCACTTTGGGAGGCTGAGGCAGACGAATCACTTGAGGTCAGGAGTTTGAGACCAGTCTGACCAACATGGTGAAGCCCCGGCTTTACTAAAAATAGAAAATTTAGCTGGGCATGGTGGTGGGTGCCTGTAATCCCTGCTACACCAGAGTGTGAGGCAGGGAGAATTGCTTTAATCCAGGAGACAAAGGTTACAATGAGCTGAGATCATGCCACTGCACTCCAGCTCGGGTGACAGTGAAATTTCATCTCAAAAAAGAAAAGAAAAGAAAAGAAATACTTAGAATATCTCTATTATTCCATAAGCCCAAGGAAAGAATATTCCTAGTCAACACTAAGTAATATCTAAGAGTTAGATATCACTGTTGTTTTTATTACTTTTATCTCAGGCAATATCACCCAAAGGAGAGGAAAAAGAAGTGAAAGTTGAGGACTTAGAATTCTAGGACTTAGAGAATTTTACTCAATAAGAAAAATAATCAAGAGAAAAAGACAAAAGTTCAAAACACATGGATTGAGCAATAGTTCCAAGTGTTGTTAAACTTCTTTGAGGACATCATTTCACATTGTGCATTATCCTAAAGGAATTCGGAGTAACTTTAAAAGAAAGATAAGTAAAAATCAATTGTACACACACAGATCAATTAGAATTCTAAAGCATAGTTCACACTGGATGCTTCAAGGCCATGTACACATCCTCAGGTATTGTCCTGCCATGCTGTCATCTTGCATTTTCTCAATTGCCTCCATCTAGTACCTCACAGAGAATTGCTGAAAGGTGCCAGTGCATGGATGGGGGTGATGGTGGTGTGAGTGCCAACTGGTTGATGAAGTCATCAGGCAGGTGAACTTCTCTCTCCCATTCTTTCCCCAGAATCATTTCATTAGCTTTGCCCTCACTTGGCAGGATATTGTAGTCAAACGGAAGAATGGGACACTCAAGTCTAAAAGGTACCTGCAAGCAAAATGCCCGTGGATGACCTGGATGTGAGTCTGCCTTTGCTGACCATGCTCTGAGTCCCTAGTTGGTCAGCACCAGTGCCCGGTTGGTTCCCCACTTTTCCTCAAATTGAATCCCACTCTCTCCACCTCCCAGTGGTGCATTTGCACATGTAGATGGGCCTATTGAGACAGGTCATATTTAAAAGCGTGTAGCATTCCATGAAACTCAAATTAATGGGTTGTCATCTCCTTCTGGACACCCAATTCCTTTCCCTCCAACACCTCCTATCTGACTGATAGCTTCTCATTTCCCGCTTCCCATCTGGCCCTCTTCTTACTTTTCTCTTTTGGATGCTTGTATTCATCATGGGCCCAAGAAAGTTTTCAGAATAGAAGGTTCAGGCCTCTTCTCTAAGTTTCTTTCTGCTCCTTCTCACTTTTTCAAAGGCATGAATGTCTGTGTTGGCTCTTTTCAGGATGTATTTGCAGGAAGTGACTTGGTTATATGAAGTTGGGTGTCAGAAACATCATTTCAAATGAGAAATGAAAAGTGACCTTGGAAGTTTTTAGTTGGTAGAATACAGAGAGGAAGAATGTTGAGTCCATTGGGTAACCTTGCCTAACTCACCTTTCCAGAAAGGGTGAGTCGCAGACTGCCTTTACTCCCTGAAACGCAGAGGGCATAAATGTGGGCTCAGCTTCCATCAAGGTGCATTCTTCCACCACGAAGGTGGAGGAATGTATGCTTATCTGTGGGCTCACACTGCTGTGGTCTGAGAAGACCTCTGCTCTGAGCAGGGTTTTAATCTGGATCATTAAAAAAATATGTACATGCATTCCAGAGTTGAATTCCCCAGCTGAGTAGCTCCCAGAGTCTAGGCCTGGGTTTTTATTTCTTGGACAGCCTCTCACTATGTCAAGTACAGCATGCCCACGCTGCAGGTAGGGGTTAGGGCTGCCAGGAATGGCAGTTTTATTTGTCTGGCAGGGAGGTTGGCTTTTTAAAGACATAGTCTTAGATCTTTCCAATCACAGGTACTGTTTCAAGGACACAGATTATAGTGCTCATGCTCTGGAACACAGAGAGACACCTTGATCTGTTCCACACCTTTTTTCTTTTCTTTGTTTTAAATTTGAGATGAAGTTTCACTCTTGTTACCCAGGCCAGAGTGCAATGGCGCAATCTCGGCTCACCGCAACCTCCGCCTCCCGGGTTCAAGCAATTCTCCTGCCTCAGCCTCCTGAGTAGCTGGGATTACAGGCATGCGCCACCATGCCCAGCTAATTTTTTGTATTTTTAGTAGGGACGGGGTTTCACCATGTTGACCAGGAAGGTCTCGATCTCTTGACCTCGTGATCCACCTGCCTCGGCCTCCCAAAGTCAACACCTTTTTTGAAGGGATGCTATTTATGTCATCGGAATGTTGCTCAGGCAAAAGTGCAAACAGGCAAAAGAGGCAGAAGATACTTAGAGAAGCAAAGACATTGTCAACTAGGAAAAGGAGGTATATTTGAATTGATGTTTGCAGAAATTGAGACATTTAAACAAAATTATTAAGCAATTAACCAAATTATAACCAGACTAGAAAGTACAAGATGATTTCACAGGAAATCATTTCAAATAAGTGATTATCTTGTGTTGGAATCATTATCTTGCATTATCATCTTGCATTTGGTTCCAAAACAGATGAAGAAGGCCATTATTTTGACAGAAGAGATAGAGGCAGTTATGCTTTTTGTGTCAAGGAGACAAGCAATGCCACGTCTCCTGGAGCGTCAGTGAGCTCATCAGCCTGCAGGACTCCATCTGGAGGGCTGGAGTTCTCAATGCAGTGAAGACAGCCATGGCATCATCATCCCACACACTGTGAATTTTAGTAAACAGTTCAATAGCAGTCACTTCTAAGGTCTACTCTGGGTTCCAGGGCCCAATCCCCTCCCAAGGCAGGCCATGTATATTCTCAGGTGTAAGCTGTCAGGCTAGGTTTTGGTGGGTAGCCCATGTAGGGAAAAGCACCCCTGCAAAAGGTTCTACCACTAGACAAGGAGCTGATGTCTGAGTAACCTTGAGAGTATTTTGCTATGCTATGCTTAACTCATCAAAATCACTATTTTTTTTTAAAGATTGTGTGTGTGTGTGTGTGTGTGTGTGTGTATGCGCACGCATGTGTGTGGGTTGATCAGAACAGACATGCTGGTTATGGTAGTTGGGAACAGTTTAGAAACTAATTTTAATCCTCTATAAAAGTGCTCTCTAGGACAGATGAAATATTCATGGTGGAGGAAGGTAGGGAGCAGAGAGAAAGAGAATGAGAGAGAGAGAGAGAGAGAAGGAGAGAGTGGGGAGGATGAGTGTGAGGACGGGGAGGACAGGAAGTGGTTCCCACTGGATTTGCACCCTGATAGATAAAGCCTCATCCACCCTCTTTTATCTCGTCTCTTGCTTTCTCTGGTGTCAGGAGTGGAGAAACTATTTGCCTTGAGATCTCCTGAAACAACAGAGGAGCAATGAGGACCACATCAGTAAAGCATAATTCTTTTGAGGGAGTACAAAATGCCCTACTCTCTTTTGGAATCAGTAAAGGGGAACATAAAACTCAAATAAATTGGTGCGAAAATTATTTTAAAGATCCTTCCAGTTTTATATTATAGCTAGTAAAAAGAGGCAGTTGAGAGGAGAGAAGAGAGATAGAGAAAGCCAACAGGCAGTGAGATTCACAGAAGGAGCAAAAAAGAGATAAAAATGAAAGATTTGTGCACAGAAAGTCATACATGGGAAAGCAGACATGTGATGGCTTAGGGACAGCCACATACAGGTACCCCCAAAGACACACACACACACACACACACACACCACCCAATGCATCGTAATACATATTGACTTCCATTCCATGGAAAATGGAATGATAATTAAACAATGAATGGAAAATGGAATGATAATTAAACGATGATATTAATTCAAGTCAATATGTATTACGATGCATTGGGTGGTGTGTGTGTGTGTGTGTGTGTGTGTGTGTGTCTTTGGGGGTACCTGTATGTGGCTGTCCCTAAGCCATCACATGTCTGCTTTCCCATGTATGACTTTCTGTGCACAAATCTTTCATTTTTATCTCTTTTTTGCTCCTTCTGTGAATCTCACTGCCTGTTGGCTTTCTCTATCTTCTCTCCTCTCAACTGCCTCTTTTTACTAGCTATAATATAAAACTGGAAGGATCTTACAATGTCCTGATCCATGCCCCTAGGATGCAGAAAATCAGTAGAGGTGAAGATGGGCTTTATGCAGAACGTGGACTGCAGGCCAGTGAGGAAGGTTCTGTCTTAGCTACATAGCCACGTCTCATGAAAAACCTTTTCTGGGTCTCCCTGACCCCTAAAAATGATCCCTGGGATCATAGGGGTCATATTCCAATTAAGGCAACTGGATATACTTTTTGTGCATTTTTATATAAGATGGGAGAGGATTTCTTAGGGAAAAGGAAGATCAATGCCCCTACCAAAAGGCAGGCGAAGCTTGCTGGCACCATGCATATGCGTGGGTGAAGCACACTTTCCTCCGTGCTATGAGCCCACAAACAGGGCTTTTACCATCATTTCTCATATAGGTGAATTTTTTTTTTTTTTTTTTTTTTTTTTTAGTTAAGAGTCTCACTCTCTCACCCAGACTGGAGTGCAATGGCGCAACTTGGCTCACTGCAACCTCCGCCTCCTGGGT